TCGCTTGGTGCTGAGGAATCTGGACTACTGCAAGCATGGCTATTGTCAGAAAACAGCTGTGGGAAAACAGTGTCTTTTGAACCTGGCAGTTGGAATTCAGAGACTGTTTATTTTTTGAAGATACACATTTGGATTTAGATTGATGATGTGTGGATGCAGGCTGGTATGAGTTGGCCACTGGCAATATAGTAAACTGCCTGTAGGAATGAGGAGCTGATAGTAGTCTTCAGGCAGTAGCTGGTGAGGCTCTTAACTGGAGGCTGTGCATGAGTACTTTTAACTTTTTAAAAAAAAATAAATAAGATGTTTGTTTTCATCCTTCTCAGCCCTGTGTAGCTGAAAAGTCTGTGTAAGACCGAGCTGGATTCTCTTCTGCTTGTTGTATGGCAAGCATGTGCTTAGAGAAGGGTTCAGAGGGCAGATTCTGGTTTTTAATCTACGTAGTGACATAGGGTTGACTTTCTGCTTGCGTCTGGAGTAGACAGGGCAGGCAGCGAGGAAAAAATTGCGTAGAAAGAATAGATCCCTTGAAAAATAAATTAGACCTGTGCTTCTTTCAAACCAGGCTACGGGGTTTTGTTGGTTTGTTTTTTAACAGAGAACTATGCAAGTCAGATGTGGACTTTCACATGCCATTATATTAATTAAAGGGTCGCAAATGCAGCACGTTAACATAGTATTAGGGTAGAAATAAAACATGTAGTTTGAACATGAGTGGTCTCATTTTTGTTCACAGCAGGTAGTGTCCAGCAGGCAGCGTCTACCACTGGAGCCCTGGCTCTGGGCTCTCTCCTCTTCTCCCTGGTGGTCTGTGCCCAGGCAGAGATGGAGCGAGCAGTGCTCTCTTGGGGCTCTGCCAGTGGTTCTCCTTGGTCAGAGGTATTGCTGCTGCGTGGCCGGCAGTTCGTCTGCATTTGTGGGGGGTGAAATCAGAGCCACAATCCTCAGGCTGATGAGAATTTCACTGAATTTCACTGAATTTCTAGAGTTGGAAGGGACCATAGAGATCATCTAGTCCAACTCCCCTGCTGAAGCAGGATTGCCTAGAGCTAGAGCATGTTACTCAGGACTGCATCCAGGCGGGTTTTGAAAATCTCCAAAGAAGGGGACTCCACAACCTCCCTGGGCAGCCTGTTCCAGGGTTCCGTCACCCTCACCGTGAAGAAGTTTCTCCTCATATTTGAGTGGAACCTCTTATGTTCCAACTTGTGCCCGTTGCCCCTCGTCCTCTCGGTGGGAACCACTGAAAAGAGTCTGGCTCCCTCCTCCTTCAACCCTCCCTTGAGATACTTGTAGGCGTTGATAAGGTCTCCCCTCAGCCTTCTCTTCTCCAGACTAAAGAGTCCCAGCTCTCTCAGTCTCTCCTCATAAGGGAGATGCTCCAATCCTTGAATCATCTTTGTAGCCCTACGCTGGACTCTTTCTAGTAGTTCCCTGTCCCTCTTGAACTGGGGAGCCCAGAACTGGACACAGTACTCCAGTTGTGGCCTCACCAGTGCAGAGTAGAGGGGGAGAATGACTTCCCTTGACCTGCTGGCTACACTCTTCCCTATACAACCCAAGATACCATTGGCCTTCCTGGCCGCAAGAGCACACTGTTTACTCATTGCCATTTTACTGTCCACCAGGACCCCTAGATCTTTCTCTTCAGTAGTTGCCTCTAGCGGGTCCACCCCTAACCTGTATTGGTGCCTGACATTCTTCTTCCCCAGGTGCAGGACCCTACACTTTTCCCTGTTGAACCTCATGAGGTTCTTCTTTGCCCAGCCCTCCAGCCTGTCCAAGTCTCGCTGGATGGCAGCACAGCCCTCCGGGGTGTCAGCCACTCCTCCCAGTTTGGTATCATCAGCAAACTTGCTGAGGATACACTCTGTCCCCTCGTCCAGGTCACTGATGAATATATTAAACAGCACGGGTCCAAGTATTGACCCCTGGGGGACTCCACTGGTTACAGGCTTCCAACTTGAACCTGCTCCATTAATAATTACCCTTTGGGTCCTGTCACACAGGATTGCCCTATTTGTGAACTGGTCTGAAACCAGGCTTTAGCATGGCAGGCCTGCAGGGAAGCCATCCTGCATCACCGGGTGCTGAGCTCTGCTCAACTCCCAGGTGTTAATGGAGTGATGGGACCCATGGGGACCCAGCATTTCCATGCTTTCACCTTGAAGAGCCAAGAGCATACCTGTGTTGTATTATCGTCTGTAGTTGTTTTCTCCTCTAGAATAAGAATACCACCTAAGAGAGGTTTTTGTGTTTTTTAAGAAAGCAGTCTAAAAGAAAGAGAAGAAACTTGGGTGATGGCCGTGACAATTCTGCAATGGCTCTGGGGGACTCCTGGTCCAGGGGTCCTGCTCAGGCTTATCCCAGCACCAGCAGTGCCCAGGCTGTGTGGAGGGGATGCCCACACTTGTCTCTGCTCAGGGGTGCACCTCAGTCCTACCTTGTCTCCAGCCTTGTCCCCTGCGACATTCATCCTGCTGAAGAAGGATCCATCCTTCTTCACCTCCTGCAAAGGTGGCCCTGCTCCAGCTGCTCCTGACCAAAACCCAGGAGATGCTGGGCACCAGTGGGAGGCACTTCCGCAAATTTCTGTCCTCCAACAAGAAGTTCGTTTGTATTGATTACCTTTTGTAGATCTTCAGAGGCAGTTGATGGCTCCCTTGTTGTCACCGTAAACAGCGTGACAGTCCCTACTGCATATTGTGCAAGATGTTTTTGTCTTGTTGCACTGGAGTAGATGAAAAGCTTCAAGATGTACTATGGGGGAAAAACCTGAAGTATCAGAGAAGATCAAGTGAGCTGACAGTACATGAGTATGACAAGAACAACAGAATTTGTAAATGTGGACGTTCAATGTGAATAATGCAATGAGTGACGTGCAGTTGCTGCACGGGGCTTTTTGATTAGAAATTGGAAATTTCTCCTTTAAAGGAGCATTGCTCAACTAAATGTTAATTGCAGTTGTTTTCTTTTAAAGTATGCGTATATAATCTCAGATACAATGTAAGCAGTGAATGTTGTCTTTATAGACTGAAGCTGTGACTTGACGTAGGCTTTCAACTCTGCTTTGTAACTGCCTTCAGAAAGCTACATAAAATCCCTATCTAGTTCCTGCTCTGTCCAACTGAGTGATGGTGCCTAGAGCCTAATTCTTCAGTGCCTTGAAATCATGACTAAGTGCTGTGAAAATGCACATTAGTGTAAATCATTCAAAGCGCTATAATTTTAAAACACTTTATCATTCACCATTTGTGCTGTTTATTTTTTTGCATCTAATGATTTTGCTTACACAATTTATTCTGTTCCTTCTTTAGCTCGTGACCTGGCACAACAGCGCAGTGTTTGGGCTTCAAGGAAAACATGAGAGTTTAATAGGAGTTAAAACAAATTGATGTCCTTTAAATATAAAATAGTGTCTAAATTGGTTTGAATGTGCCTTTGAAAGGTGATACATGTGTATATTGTTTAATTTGAGCTAGAATTGTAGTACTGAATTTCAAAATTGGTATGTGCACGTAAAAAAAAGCAGCAGTGGTTTGTGTTCATGCACCCTTTATAAATAAAGAAATGAACGAGACCAGATTGATGTAGATTATTTAGCCTTGGTCTCTGTTATCTCTTGCTTAAAGGGATATTTCAGCTGCTTCTGGCTCCAGTGGAGGATGCCATGTCACAGGAATAGCCTTTCCACTGCTGAGGCAGGACAGAGCTGGGGAATGGTCTGAGATTGTCCAGTTCTGGCAGTTGATTTGTCCTTGGGAGCTGATAACTGACAGCTAGAATGGCTTGGGGCTGTGTTATACCTATAATTGTATGCTGTGTATGTATATTATGTGCTGGGGCACTTTGTCGCCTGTGGGAATGTGCAAAGTGGGTAGAGAAAGGAATAGGAGAGTATCTTGTTCCTTAAATAAGGGAGTCAATTTAGTGGTGAACTGTGGTTTTGCAACGAATGTGTAAATTATTCATGTGTGAACACACTTAGACTTTTTTTGTCTCAATTTTTAATAAAGTATGGTGAGGTGGGAAGTCGCAGTACTTTCAATGTAAAAGAGATTGAGCTTGTGAGACGGCCTTAATGCCAGTGTCTGGAACAGGCAGTGTCACCTCGTAGGCTAGGAAAGGTCACCACATGGCTCTGCAGCAGCATTTAATTTAAGATGTAACTTGTCAAAAGCGCTGGTGGAAGAAAAATTTAAAATACAGCACGTGACTTAAAATTTAAAGTGTCCTACCTGCTGCATGGCTCCCCTCTTTTTTTTTTTTTTGTTTTGACTAATGCTTTTTGCCCCACACCTGGCATGACCTGGAGGAGATCAGGCAGCACTTCTGTGGTTCTAGAATACAGTTTGGGTTAAGGAGGTATTTTACACGGTTGTTTGCCTGCGTCCTGCTGCTTCTTCCTGGCTGTATCATGGGAAGAGGTGAGGGAAGCTGCTGACTCAGAGCAAGGAGCTGTGCCTCCCTGCTTTCTGGCTGCTGCCCCAGGCTTGGGGAGAGCTGGAGGTGGCTCTGAGTGTCCACAGGTGCCAGCAGCTTGCCTGGCAGTCTGTGCCCACCGATGCTGTGGGGTTCCACTCTGCCTCACAGCAAAGCTTTTGTCCTCATTGGCTTTTTGTTTGAGGATACCTCAAAAGCTCCTAGAAAAGCCTAACCTGCTTGTGCTTTATAGCTAGGAAAAGAGGTGTGCGGAGTATTGATCAGTCTCTTATTGGGTGGGGACTTATGATAAAAGATTGGAACTAGGGGTGAAACGTGTGTATGGGATGACCCAAACCACTTGGTGGTCCTCGCTCTTGGGGCATTGTGCTTTAGACAGATCAGTTCAAAGCATGTCACCATCTGACATGGTGCGCTAAAATCCCGCACTGTGTGAAGTCTGGAGTGTCGTTCGCTCTCTGCCATCCTTGTCTGTCTGCCTTGGAGCTCGTTGCGTGTCCCCACCATGCTCCCCTGCAGCTGGGAGTGACACTGACTTTTGCTCCTGTCCTTTGCAGTCCGAGCGACGAGAGGCAAACATGGCCCAAGCACCTGCTGATCCAAGTGCTGTGGAAACTGCCGACCCAGAGGAGAGTTCTCCAAATATGATAGTCTACAGAAAGGTAAGGACTTGGAGCTGTTTGTAAAAGAAAAAAATAAAATTAAAAAAAATGTCATTTCGTTGACTTGTAAAAGGATCCCTCACCCCTTCTGAAGTCAAAAGGTACGTTTCAGGCTTCTTGGATGCATAGCTGAAATAGTTCTTAGGAAAGTAGCTATTTAAAACCATAGCATTTGAGAGCTTGGAAGTCTTATTCCGTTCAGTGGAAGCATTTAAGCTCATTAGTATAAAATGTTTCATGACAAACTAATAACTTGTAAATTTACAACTTCTTGTGAATGGCTGTGATGTGGCTTTACCTAATTGTTCAAGTTACTAAGGCTGGCTAAAATAATTGTACACACCTTCAAAATTTTATCACACTAAGAATAACGCAGCTGGCATACAACAATATTTTAGTACATTTTTTTCTGTTTCTGTATTGTGGTTTTTGTTTGCATAATTTACAGTTTGATTCTTTGCAGGTAATTATTATTGCTTCTCGTTGCATTTCTTACATTAAAAAAGAGAAATCTCTGAAGTGCTAGTGAAAAATCAATTAGACATAGGTAAAATAACAGCAATGCATGATGTCAGAGAACTAACTTGCACCATGATAAAGTGTTTTATTCTTAAGTACTTTGGAGGTAGTATAAAAGATGAAAGAAAGCAATCTATTGACCCATTTTCTAAGGTATTGTTTTACGCTGGGGTTGATGTGTCTGTTATCTATGAAATGGAATCTTTTTGTAATTTAATGAAATTATGTAGATATATTTTATTTAGTCTGCAAAATGTTTCTTGTGTAGCATGCGAAAGTGCTGTATAGTTCTGACAAAAATAAAATTTCTTGCATGGTTCAAATAAGTTACCATTCTGTTAACTCAGGAGCTACAGTTCTAGCTCACATCAAGTTTCCTTGCGTAGTACAATCTTGGGTAAAATTTATATTTTTACTCATTTTTACACCCTACAAAATAGCTATTAAAACCTAAAATGTGTTGGGTGTACGTGGTACTGCTTTCTGCTTGCGTGACTGCAATCTTGATGACTTTCACAGGCTGAGAAAATAATTTAGGTTTCATATAGAGCATAAGTTGTTTAAAGTGTTACTTTTTGATAACCATAATTTTGGTTTAGTTGTTGCATATTTGGTTTGGAATCTGGAATTGTTAACATGGGAAAATTTTCTGGGTAATGTGTAGGCTTGTTTGTTTTGAATGTGTTATGAACACACTTCGGCTGCTAATTTGGAAGTAGCAGTAGTCGGTTAGTCAGATTATCTTTTTGGAACCTGTTTGCTGAGAGGTCCAACACCCCAGCAGGCTGAAGCAGATATGGGTTATGAAAGAAGTTTCTGATTGCATGATCTACAATTAGGGCATTAAATCTGTGACTCTGCAGAGAATCCACTTACCTATTCTCAAAAACAGTGTTTTATTTGAATGTTCCTCATTTTCTGTTCATCTTATGACATTTCTCAATTTCTTTACCTTTTAGTGTTTCATTATTGTTGCTGTAGAATAAGGTTTGCGGGTTCTGCAGTACTAAGGGGGAATGTACTCATACCATTTGATTCATCTTTCCCTGCTGGTGTTCCTCAAATGTCAGTATTATTAGCCCTTCATAATAGTCACCTGTCAAATACACAGTTATCTTTCAGAATAGCATGCCCCATGCATTGTTCAGTAATACTATATTCTGTTTTGTCAATATTAAGCTAATGTATGTCTGTCAGGTTTGCTGGTTTTTTGATTATTTTTTTTTGAGCATTTTTGTTGCTTTTATGAATAGGGTTAAGGTTACCCATTCTTCAAAGACCATTTCCATTGGTGATCGATCTTCTAAATCTAGTTTACTGTTTGATATTAGTTATATGTATTACACATCAATTATATGTTCCTTAGTGTTGAGAAATCATATGCAAAATCTGAGGCAGGACTTTTATTCTCCTGATTATCTCTCCTCTCTCCAAATGAGTGTTTAGCTCTTCATCTCTCATTTCCTTTCAAATGGCTTGATTGCCAGTAATGAATGAGAAAAACACTGCACTGGACTCCCTGCAATACAGAACCCAGTCTGCCAGCATACTGTACAGTTCAGGGCTGGTGTTGTGTCACAGTAAAAGAGGTTTGCTTCTCACAGCAGGAATCCTGAGATGCAATTGTTGGTCGCCCTAAGGAAGAAGAAATAAGTGTGGGTTTCAACCATGGGACCACAGTAATTCCTGCTGTTAAGTGGCAGCTGTTTTGTTGCTTGTCATAACTGGCACATTTGTCGGTTTTGAGGGAGGAAAGCCCAGGAAGTACAACCCCAAATTGTTCATGGTTTCTTTACTGAGACTTACTGAAGTCTATTTGAAGTTCATAAGCCAGGAGCGGGTGGTTGTGGTAGCCTGGTTTTCTTTATAATCACTAGCAACAGATCCACACATCTGAAGGAGAAATCAGATCTTAGGTGGTGCCGAGTGTCCCTTTGGAGCAATCTCTCTCTGGTTTGTTTATGGAGAAAAGCCTAGAACAGGCTGTTCTCTTTACTTAGGTAGGTAAAACTAAGTGGGATGGATTTTGGCCATGCAGAACAAAATAAACTAATTTATTTTGACTCCAATTAGTTTGCAAAATTCTCTATGGAGTCCTGCAAGCAAATGGATTCTAACTGCTTTGATTGCTACAGCAGATGGTCTCCATGAGATAAGTCTTATTTTCTTCTACCTTCAGGGTTAACCTTTTGGGGGCTGATATTTATCCAACTGTAAGGCATGTTATTTTTTTAATCCAAAATGCTCAATGTTGCCCTACTCTTCCAGAAGACATCTGTGTGTGAATTAAGTATTGCAGATGCACTCGTTAGGGTAAGTAGTGTTTAGGGTGTGATTTGCCTCACCTTCTGCTTGTTAAAATTAATTGTATCCTAAACTACCTGAGCTGTATTGACTAGGTTTCCATTGACTATCATGGGTGCCTCTACACCTCACTGTCAGGTACTTATGTCATGTGGTAGACATCTATAATTAAGCAAGCTGCATCCCGCTCCTAGGATTTGTGCTTCCTCTCATCTCTGTGTGTCTCAGTACTTAGCCCTGGGCTGGCTGTAGGGCTGTGGGTAGTGCTGCAGTAAGGATGTGCTGTCATTTATCTTGTGGGGCATAGTGATACCCAATGAAAAATTTAAGATCTCTGCAGAAATTGCATTACTGTTTAAGTCCTGCTCTGAGTAAAATGTAGGAACCGTGTTTTCTTTAATCAGTCTGGCCACATCTGCAGAAGAGGCTGATGCATTTTTTTTGTTGGGATTACTACTGGAAGAGTTTTACACAGTGCTTAAAAAGACTGTGTGAAACGCGCTACCCTCCTTTTCATGGGAGCAGGTAATGTCAATACACAAGGGCTTCTGTGGAAGTGAGTGACATCCCAGTCCTCACTTCAGTCTGTGAGCGTTGTGTGGGTGCTGCAGCACAGAAGGAAAAAAAATGCAATGAAAAGCCTGTGAGAGGAGAAAAATACACTCCAAGCAAACAGTAACAGACAATATCAATTGATTTTAAACACCTGTCACATTCTCTAGAAATCCAGCCGCTTTGATTGTCTTTCTGGCTTCCAAGTGCCGGTTACTATGTCCTAGGGGCCTTTTGGCTCATCATTCCAATAATCCAGGTCTGAAAGTTCACCTTCTGCAGACTGTATTGAAAGACAAACTATTCACAAACACCTTCTGCCACCAGACCTATTAGGCGACCTATTACCAAAATAATTTGGCAAATCAGATCTTTTTACAGAAAGGATAATGGAAAATTGTCTTCTCACTGAAAGAAAAGAAAAACTGAAATATTCAGGGCTTGACCAAAGAAGAACTGAAAACGCTAATAAGGAAGAATTGTTTAGGAGTACTTGGTGAATATAACAAGAAGGATGAAAACACAGAAATTAAATCCTAGAATGGATAGCAAGGTGAATTGTTCCTGAGAGAGATCTCTTAGGATGGGGAAGAGTTCACAAACAATACTGTTAGAATGTTTAGAACCACTGTGAGCATGTAAGCTCTGAGGGATATCAAAAGGTATCATCAAAGAATTGACATGGATTTTCTGATGGTACATTTCCATCTCTGCTTGATTTTGCCAGATGCATCGTCTGTATTTGCTTGCTAGCATTGGCACTTAGTGAGTTAAATTCTGAATTTTTATGGTTACTCATCATAAATCTTTTGAACAAGCAGGAAAATCTAATTTCCGAAGGCAATTACTGTTCTAAGTAAATGTAATACAAACTTGCAGCTGCCACAAGATGCTTTTGGAAAAATCTGAGTTGTTTGCTACCTTCAGTACTTGGCAGCCTTACCCTCTTTTGAAATTCTGGTTTAAGATCTGAATTGTAATCATTAAAAAAAAAAAAAGAAAAAAAAGAAAAATGCAACCTTACATTAGCAGCTTTTCTCCAGGCAGATTCCAGGGCTCCAGTTGTGGCCAATAGCTGGAGTGCTGCTGTCAGACCTGGCCCAATGTGGCGCTAGGGTGGAAAATGGGAGAATGAGCAGTGGTGAAGCAGATATAAGCGTACAAAAAGTGGATGGACCATGAAGCAGAAAGATGGTGAAGAGTCTGTCATTAAAATTAGCTGTTCAGATAAAAAAAAAAAAAAAAAAGTTGGTATTTGGATCTAGCCAGAACACTGAGGCTACTATTTGTTTGCTCTTTGTGCCAAATAACACTGCAGAACTATAATCTTCATATTTTACCCAGATATTTTTCTGTATTGTCGTTAGAGATTACTTTATAGCATTTTAAGCCATCTTGTTTGACGCTTCCTGATTTTTATTCTGTTACCTGACTAAAAGGAGTAACCCAGGATTAAACTAGGACTGAATTAGAGACTACATACCAGGAATTGAAGCACACACAATTTTTTTGATAAGTAACTGCCAAACTAGGATTGTTAACGTTGAAAAATAAATTTAAATCCAGTCATGTTACCATGATATATTAACATACAGGTTAGGCAGCAGCACAGCTTTAACTCTGCA